ATAGAAGACCACTGATAATCTCCCTCGATCTGGGGCTCCACGCAAGATCTCACCCCGTGGGGTCAAAATGATCACAAGAACGGTGAGCAAAAATCCCAGAACCACACGGGGGGACCTAGTGAATGACCTGCAGAGAGCTGGGACCAAAGTAACAAAGCCAACCATCAGTAACACACTACGCCGCCAGGGACTCAAATCCTGCAGTGCGAGACGTGTCCCCCTGCTTAAGCCAGTACATGTCCAGGCCCGTCTGAAGTGCATTTGGATGATCCAGAAGAGGATTGGGAGAATGTCAAATGGTCAGATGAAACCAAAATATAACTTTTTGGTAAAAACTCAACTCGTCATGTTTGGAGGACAAAGAATGCTGAGTTGCATCCAAAGAACACCATACCTACTGTGAAGCATGGGGTTGGAAACATCATGCTTTGGGGCTGTTTTTCTGCAAAGGGACCAGGACGACTGATCCGTGTAAAGGAAAGAATGAATGGGGCCATGTATCGTGAGATTTTGAGTGAAACCCTCCTTCCATCAGCAAGGGCATTGAAGATGAAACGTGGCTGGGTCTTTCAGCATGACAATGATCCCAAACACACCACCCGGGCAACGAAGGAGTGGCTTCGTAAGAAGCATTTCAAGGTCCTGGAGTGGCCTAGCCAGTCTCCAGATCTCAACCCCATAGAAAATCTTTGGAGGGAGTTGAAAGTCTGTGTTGCCCAGCGACAGCTCCAAAACATCACTGCTCTAGAGGAGATCTGCATGGAGGAATGGGCCAAAATACCAGCAACAGTGTGTGAAAACCTTGTGAAGACTTACAGAAAACGTTTGACCTGTGTCATTGCCAACAAAGGGTATATAACAAAGTATTGAGAAACTTTTGTTATTGACCAAATACTTATTTTCCACCATCATATGCCAATAAATTCATTAAAAATCCTACAATGTGATTTTCTGGATTTTTTTTTCTCATTTTGTCTGTCATAGTTGACGTGTACCTATGATGAAAATTACAGGCCTCTCTCATCTTTTTAAGTGGGAGAACTTGCACAATTGGTGGCTGACTAAATACTTTTTTTCCCCACTGTATATACAATGAGTAATGATAACTTGGCTATGTACACGAGGTACCAGTACCGAGTTGATGTGCAGTGGCACGAGGTAATTGAGGTAGATATAGTGCAAGTATTCAGACATTTTGTTACGTTACAGCCTTATTCTAACATTTATTACATCTTTTTTTTTACATCAATACTCCATAATGACAAAGCGAACACAGGTTTTTTGATTTTTTTGCACATTTATATATATTTTTAAACAGAAATGCCTTATTTACATAAATATTCAGACCCTTTGCTATGAGACTCTAAATTGAGCTCAGGTACAACCTGTTTCCATTGATCATCCTTGAGATGTTTCTACAACCTGACTGTAGTTCACCTGTGTTAAATTCAATTGATTCGACATGATTTGGAAAGGCACACACCTGTCTATATAAGGTCCCACAGTTGACAGTGCATGTCAGAGCAAATACCAAGCCATGAGGTCGGAGGAATTGTCCGTAGAGCTCCGAGACAGGACTGTGTCGAGGCACAGATCTGAGGAAGGGTACCAAAACATGTCTGCAGCATTGAAGGTCCCCAAGAACACAGTGGCCAGCATAATTCTTAAATGGAAGAAGTTTGGAACCACCAAGACTCTTCCTAGAGCTGGCCGCCCGGCCAAACTGAGCAATCGGGGGAGAAGGGCCTTGGTCAGGGAGGTGACCAAGAACCCGATGGTCACTCTGACAGAGCTTCAGAGTTCCTCTGTGGAGATGGGAGAACCTTCCAGAAGGACAACCATCTCTGCAGCACTCCACCAATTATGCCCGTATGGTAGAGTGGCCAGACGGAAGCCACTCCTCAGTAAAAGGCACATGACAGCCCGCATGGAGTTTGCCAAAAGGGACCTAAATGACTCTCAGACCATGAGAAACAATATTCTCTGCTTTTAGCGTCATACCCAAGAAGACTCGAGGCTATAATCGCTGCCAAAGGTGCTTCAACAAAGTACTGAGTAAAGGTTCTGAATACTTGTGTAAATGTGACATTTCAGATTTTATTTTTTTATAAATTTGTAAAAAAATCCCAAAACCTGTTTTTGCTTTGTCATTATGTGGTATTGTGTGTAGATTGATGAGGGGGGGGGGAAACAATTTAATCCATTTTAGAATAAGGCTGTAACGTAACAAAACGTGGAAAAAGTCACCGCCTGGTATAGAGGTCCTGGATGGCAGGGAGCACAGGTGTTGTAGTACCCTCTTCACGAATGTGTTGGTGTGTTTGGACCATGATATAGCCTTAGTGATGTGGACACCGAGGAACTTGAAGCTCTCGACCCGCTCCACTAAAGCCCTGTCGATATGAATGAGGGCGTGCTCAGCCCTCCATTTCGTGTAGTCCACGATCAGCTCCTTTGTCTTGCTGACATTGAGGGAGAGGTTGTTGTCCTGGCACCACACTGCCAGGTCTCTGACCTTCTCCCTATAGGCTGTCTCATCGTCGTCGGTGATCAGGCCTACCACCATTGTGTCGTCGGCAAACTTTACGATGGTGTTGGAGTCGTGCGCGGCCATGCAGTCATGCCTGAACAGGGAGTACAGGATGGGACTAAGGACGCACCCCTGAGGGGCCCCTGTGTTGAGGGTCAGCGTTGTTGCTTACCATCAACATCTGGGGGTATTCTGTCAGGAAGTCCAGGATCCAGTTGCAGAGGGAGTTGTTCAGTCCCAGGGACCTTAGCTTAGTGATGTGCTTGGATCACACTATGGCATTGAACGCTGAGCTGTAGTCAATGAACAGCATTCTGACGTAGGTGTTCCTTTTGTACAAGTGGGAAAGGGCAGTGTGGAGTACAATAGAAATTGCATTATCTTTGGATCTGTTGGGGCGTTATGCAAATTGGAGTGGGTTCAGGGTGTCTGGGATGATGGTGTTGATGTGAGCCATGACCAGCTCTTCAAAGCATTTCATGGCTACAGATTTGAATGCTACGGGGCGATAGTCAATTAGACAGCTTACCTTGGCGTTCTTGGGCACAGGGACTATGGTGGTCTGCTTGAAACATGTAGGTATTACAGACTGGGTCAGGAAGAGTTTTGAAAAGTTCAGTGAAGACACTTGCCAGCTAGTCAGCGCATGCTCTGAGTAATCGGTCTGGCCCTGCGGAATTTTGAATGTTAACCTGTTTAAAGGTCTTACTCACATCGGCTACAGAGAGTGATCACACAGTCGTCTGGAACAGCTGGTGCTGTCACACATGGTTCAGTGTTGCTTGCCTCGAAGCGAGCATAGAAGGTATTTAGCTCGCTTGGTAAGCTTGCGTCACTGGGCAGCTGGCGGATGGGTTTCCCTTTGTAATCCGTGATGTTTGCAAGCCCTGCCAGGTCCGACGAGCGTCAGAGCCGGTGCAGTACGATTCAATCTTAGTCCTGTATTGATGCTTTGCCTGTTTGATGGTTAATCGGAGGGCGTAGCTCAGTGCAGATGTTGCCTGTATTCCATGGCTTCTGGTTGGGATATGTACGTACGGTCACTGTGGGGTCGACGTCGTTGATGCACTTATTAATGAAGCCGGTGACTGATATGGTAAACTCCTCATTGCCATCGGATGAGTCCTGGAACATATTCCAGTCTGTTCTAGCGAAACAGTTGTGTAGCTTAGCATCCGCATCACTAGACCACTTCCATATTGATTGTGTCACTGGCACTTCCTGTTTGAGTTTTTGCTTGTAAGCAGGAATCAGGAGGATATAGTTATGGTCCGATTTGCCAAATGGAGGGCGAGGGAGAGCTTTGTATGTGTCTCTGTGTGTGGAATAAAGGTGAAGAAAAAAAAGGTGACATGCTGGTAGAAATTAGGTCAAACGGATTACAGTTTTCCTGCATAAAAATCACAGGCCACTAGGAGCGCCACCTCTGGATGAGCATTTTCTTGTTTGCTTATGGCCCTATACAGCTTGGTGAGTGGTGGTAAATAGACAGCTACAAAAAATATGGATGAAAACTCTCTTGGTAAATAGTATGGTCTAAAGCTTAACATAAGGTATTCTAACTCAGGCGAGCAGAACCTCGAGACTACCTTAATATTGAAGATTGCGCACCAGCTGTTGTTAACAACGAGACACACACCACCCCCTTTGAGCTTACCCGACGCTGTCGTTCTCTCCTGCCGATGTATAGAAAAACCCGTCAGAATATTATCCATGTCCTACATGGCCAAGTATCCAAGAAACATATGTTTCACACAGCCCGTCCGTCTGGGGGTGGTACACACTGGTCCTTATTTGTTTGACCTGGTATAACTGACACAGGTCCTTCATCAGTCTATACATGAACGGCGTACCCTGGTCGGTCAGGATGGTGGCCGGGAGTCCCACTCGGGAGAACCTGAGATACAGTTATTTCGTTGCCATCGAACTCAGGGGAATAGCCTCTGGGAACGTTGTTGCATAGTCCACCACCACCAAGATGTACTCATGTCCGTGCACTGAACACGGCAGGGGTGTCACCAGGTCCATGGCTATGCGCTCAAATGGGGTCTCTACAATTGGGAGAAGGATAAGAGGTTTACGGTATGTTCGCTTGGGAGCAGTGCGTTGGCAGGTGTCACAAGATTTGCAATACTTAGCGACATCTTGGGTAATCCTCCAATAGAAATGCCCCAGCAACCGTTCGGTGGTCTTCTCCCTGGCGAGGTGGCCCCCTAGTACATTGTGTATGGACCATGTGTAACACAACCTCTGTGTATGAACGGGGCACCATTAACAGTTCCTGTTCTACCCCTCTACGTTTGTCCACCCAGTACAAGAGACCCCGCTTGATGGCGTAATAAGGAGTGGTTAACTCACCTCCCGAGCCGATACTCCTCCCATCTATCCTCTTCACCTTCCGCATAGCCTGGCGAAGGTCGGGGTCCCGGTGTTTGGCGGTTCCGAATTGGGCCATTAGCTCTTCCAACAGGGAGAAGTTGTGCGTGTTGGGGTGAGGGAGGGGGTGCTCCTGGTCGGGGTCGGATGACTCCGTGCCATACTCCCTCCAGGTGCTCTCTCTCGATGACTCCTGAAACACCTGCCGTAACTGCTCCCTCTGGAGCTCATCGACTGGACTCAGGACGGGGTTCTGGTTAGATCTGTCCTCCTCCATGGTCTCCTGGAACAAGTGCCTCAGTCTGTCATCGGGGGAGTCTCCTTCTCCCCCTGGCCTGATGAGGAATTTCGGTTGCCCTGTCACGCCTCCTTAACTACATCCCGTCCCTTCCCATGCGGTGTGCACCGTCGAGTGCGTCTCCGGGTGGGCTCTGAGTGCACCAGTGCTTGGCGATTAGGGTTGTTCGGTCTCCATGCTCAATCGGGGCTACTCCCCCGCCCTCCTCCACAGAAGCTCGAACAGGGGGCAGTCCCTCCCCAGAAGCACTGGTACCTTCATTTGGGGAACAACCCCGACGATCAGGGTGGTCTTCCCGGCAGGGGTATGGAAGCTGACTTGGGCTGAGGGGTAGCGTTTGGTGTCCCCGTGGATGCAGGCTACCGCTGTTTCCGTCTCGAGACGGGGCACGTTGGACAGGATCCCGAATCTGGGAAGGCCTCCCAGTCCGTTCCTCTTACGCGCACCGGCACACGCCAAGCCGGGGCCAGCTCCGCATGCCAACATACCTGTGGCGCGGGACATTCCGTCCGGTCACGGGGGGAGTGGCTGAGGATTCAGTGGGCATAAGGACTTCTACACTGGGGCAGTGTCTAGCCATATGACCATACGTGTTGCACTTGAAACACTGTATAGGGCCCTGAGGTGTGGCCTTACTAAAAGTATTTTTACATTTTTAGTCTTTTTACATTTTTTGTCATTTAGCAGACACTCTTATCCAGAGCGACTTACAGGAGCAATTAGGGTTAAGTGCCTTGCTTAAGGGCACATCAACACATTTTTCACCAAGTCGGCTCGGGGATTAGAACAACTCTTACCCACTAAGCTACCTGCCGCCCTCTACGGGGCTGGGTGCTGGCCTTGTCGACCCTCTGGCTATACATGGGACGTACCACTGGTCTTCTCGCCCCTGCTAACGGCAGCAAGGCTTTTAGTAGACAAGTATAACTCGATGCCCTGGACTAGGTGGTCAACTGTAACTGGATTATCCTGTCCGACTATTTTATGCATGGTGACGGGTAATTCCCTCAAACACTTGTCTACATTTTGGCCGTGGTTTTTGAGGGGCATAGCCACCCACTTACCAAACGGATAAGTTGGTAGAGCTGGCCCCTCGGAGACTCCTCTTCGGCGTACTTCCAGGCATGAAACCTTTGGGCCCGGTCTCTGGGGTTCAGCTGATAGAGGGACTGAATCTCCAGCTTTAGACGTTCATAATCCACGGCACCCCCTTCTTCAATGTCGTAGTACGCCGCCTGTGCTTTGCCTGTGAGCAGGGGAGCCAGAAGGCCCTACCAGTCATCCTGAAGCAATCTCTCTCTCTGCAGCGTTCTTTTGAAGGCCAGAAGATAGGCCTCCACATCGTCGTCCTCCGACAGACGTGGAATCAGCGCGCTGTTGTTGGGCCTCCTACGATCCCTGGGAGAAGGGCGGTCTGCTAGTTCAGACCTGAGGAGGTCTAGGGTCTCCTGTTGGGCGATGGCGCAGGCCGTTAGCTGACGTAGCAACTCTTCGCTCATGCCTATCAGCGGGTGTAGTGGGCTTCTGAAAGATAAAAAATAATCACAGCCACCGGAAAGGGGATTGATTGTGGTCTTGCCTCAAGATGCCCGCATTCTCCACCAGTTGTGATGGATCAGCTTGTCCGAAACACCCTAACACAGGGGGGAGGCATAAAATGAACAGACCGGAGGCAGTGGTTGTGGTTCCTTTGCTTTTGTATTGTCAATAAACTGGTTTTCTTTCACCCGACAAAATGATTCCAGTACAGGGTAGCGTCCACCGCTGAAACAACAGTGAAAAAAAAGGAATATAAAAATAAACTAAGCAGTTGACCTAAAGGCCGTGGCCAAACAGAGAAAACAAAACAACAAAAGGCTTCACCCGTCTTTAGACTATTGTCTACACATAACATTTACAGGGGGGACGCTTCTCTCTACCTATAGCCTGCCTTGCTTACCCGAGAGCCAAGGTGCATCAGAAGAAGAAGCTTTCTCTGAGGTAGGAGAGTACGACGTCCTCACAGGACCCCATGTATGCTCTCAGCCCCGAGCTCATCTCCTGGCACACGTTTATAGAGGGAGACACAAAGCAATTAGTGGGCCCAGCTGTGTACTAATTGGCTTTACACTGAGTACCTATCCCCTGAGGAGGGTGCTGTCGTGTCGTCTTCCTCCGGCCGGTCACTGAATCTCACAGATATTACAGTTCTTCAGGTCCCGTTGATAGGATAGTCTCGAATGGAAGCTTGTCCAGTTTGTTCTCCAGTGATTCTACATTTGCCAATAGAACAGATGGTAGAGGTGGATTATTTACTCCCCACCGTAGTTTCATCAGGGTACCCGCACGTCGGCCTCTATATCGCCGTCTCTTTCTCTTCCCGAGTGTCGGGGATTATGGCCTAGTCCGGGGTGAGCAGTATGTCCTTTGCTGCCAACTGATTGAAGTAGAAATCTTCATCCAAATTGAGGTTAGTGATCGCTGTTCTGATGTCCAGGACTTCTTTTCGGTCATAGGAAATGATGGCGGAAACATTATGTAGTTAAGATCAGCGCAAAAAAAACACACAAAATAGCAGAATTGGTCAGGAGCCCGTAAAACGGTTGCTATACATTCCAGCGCCATTCTGAGACATTCCAGCACTATTCTGGACCTAACCCTAACCTTAGCAAGCGGTTGTTTATAAACAGTTTGTTGATAGTAAGACCACTTGTAGAGCATCTACAGATGGAATATCCAGACTATCCAAATAAAGTGTGACCAAATAAAGTTGATCTTTTACTGAGATAAAACCAAAATGAAATGCGTTGTAAAAATGTCGCTGAGAATTCTCAACTCCAGTGGCGTTGAGTGGCGATGAGTTTTGGCAGAGTGTACTTCTAACAACATCGAGTCGGTATCAGTCGATACAATTCTTAAACGCGCACTCATGTATGTCCTGTGTAAAGGCGTTATTTTCTTTGGGTGCTGCAGTCTGTAGTTTTTGATAAAAATATAATTTTACGTGACCTCCGCCAAGGGAGTCGCTGTTTGTTAACAGAGGAGCAGCCCCGTCATTGCATGGCAGATTTTTAGGGTTTGGCAGGGGATGCATGGAATGCAATTTTTTTTCAAAAACAATGGATTCCAACTCCCACTGGTAACTCCATAAGAATCAGGACGAGCACAGGTACACAGTAAGTGTTACACAATTTATATTTATAAAAGTATCGAATGGTAGTGCATGTTTGAAATCGCAAGCTTCAAATTCCATTGGAAAACAGTGGATTACGCAATGCAATTTGACAGAGGTCACATAGAATTAAGTTTTTATAAAAAACTACAGATTTCAGCACTCAAATAAAATAACACCTTTACACAGGACAAACATAAGTACAAGGTACGCATTAAAGACTGAACATTTTCACAAGTATTGATTGACACCGACTCGATGTAGTCAGATGTACACTCTGCCAAAACTCCTCGCCACTCAACTCCATTAAGATGTGACGTACGTATTGTAGAGTTGAGCATTCTCAGTTAGTAAAAGTGTAAACATAGCATTGGTCTTTTTGGATATAAAAACATGTATAAGCATAATATGGATAGAGGCTCTTTGAGTATACTGTGTGTAACAAAATGCTAGCATGATGTTATGTAGCAGAACTAGAGCCTCTTGATTCCATTATTACCAAAACTGCATCCCAAATGACACCCTATTCCAATAGGGCTCTGGTCAGTGGTAGTGCACTTATAAGGAATAGGGTGCCATTTGGGACGCACAACCAGTGTGGTCCTGCGTCCAGACATGAATCATTATAAACAGTCATGAAGGCAAAATCAAAGGGCTGCCCGCTCACTTCTCCCTTCTCCTCCGCCGCAGCCTGCCTCCCTGACTGTCCACTGCAGCCAGCCACTGACCCACCAACATGAAACTTCATAAACAAGGGAACGAGAGAGAGAAAAATATGAAAATGAAAGACAGGGAAATAAAAAAGGCCAGGTAGCAGTTCTGAGGAGTTGTGATCATCATTCATCATCTTCATCCCCCAAGTGCAGATGGAACACTTGCTAAGCCATCATTTAGTGCTGGTGTTTACTGTGCCTACTGTGTTGGACACACACACATACACACACACACAAGCACACAAACACTGGAGGTGGGGGAAAGGGCTTTGTCAGCAAGTGGGCCTACGCTATTCTCCAACACGAGATGGGCCTTGGTAGCAAACACACACAAACACACACACACACACACACAAACACTGGAGGTGGGGGAAAGGGGCTTGTCAGCAAGTGGGCCTACGCTATTCTCCAATATGAGATGGGCCTTGGTAGCAAAGCATTCAGTGTGTGTGTTGTGTGTGTGTATGTATGGTATGTACATTTATCCTTGTTGATGCCAGTTTAGATTCCTGACAGAGATAGTCTCCTCCGCAGTAATTATCTCCTATCTGTAAGCTGTCAATTCTAAAACTCAGAAACCTTGAATCCATGACAACATCTAACTAACAAATGTACACCCTAGATAAACTGTATTCTCTCTCTCTCTCTCTCCTATTATTGTTATATCCTTAGCAGCTTCAGCAAGTCTTTAATTCCAACGACCCTGATGCAATGACAAAAAAACATTCGAAGTTACAGCAAGACCTTGACGTTCCCTTCGTGAGGAGGGTGCAAACTGAAGAAATAAGTCGAAGAATAGAACAGAGCAGTACAGAGAGTCAGTGTACTCTGTAACCTGTTAAAGTATCAACATTTATATTAGTGCTTTAACTGGACTGGACACATTATTTCTTTACACCCGCTAGCAGCATCATACTGATGCTACTGGGTAGGTGACAGAATGGCCCTGTCAGGGACTAAATAAATGAATGTCAAAGCCAAAGGATATTAGTCGGCTGTGATAAATGAAGAAGGATATTGTCTGTCAGTTTGGTCATTAGTCTCTTTCACCATTCACTCCTTCTCTGCTATCTCCCTCCCCCTCTATAGTCCCTCGAAGGCTAATACACACAGACACTGTTACTGCTACATATCTGCTACACTAATAACAACCAATAATATCTATCTAACCATTAACTATGATAATGCAGTCACAGTAGTACAACACTGTACATTGTGTTTGCCTCAGCCATTGACATTGAAGGAGTGACTTACGTAGAAAGTATTACATTTATTGTTAAGTCGAAAATCTCCCCATTCCCTCTAACCCTATAGAGACCTGCTACACACTGACTTCCAACTTTGCTGTTGTTCCAGGGAAGACGAACCACATCAGCTATCTTCCATGTGTCATTATATCTTCTAACATGTGTCCTCCCTCATCAGTAATGATTGCTTCATGCTAGTGCACAAGTAGTTTCACATTAAAATTTAAATAAGTTAAATCAAACGTAGGTGATTTTGACTGGATTCAGTGGTAGAGAATCATGGCTGTCAAAGCAGTCAGTGAGATCTGAGAGGTGTTGACTAATTGCTTGATAATTACACAGTAAATCATCTAATTAAGCCGACGGTTAATTAGGGTAAGCTTGCACAGCTTGCAAGTATATTTTGGTTAGGTGTAGGTGTGGATGTGTGTGTGGATGTGTGTGTCAGTAAATGAGAGAAATATAGCTTGTGCAAGAGAGAAACTGCTAAAGAGTGAGGACATAGAGAGAGAGAGAGACAAAGGGTCGAAGTTCAACGAAGCATTCCTCCAGACATATACAGTAACCATCTAACCATCCATAGCCTGTAGCCAATGGAACATCATACAGCTGAACCACTTGTAAAGCTTAAACATGAATAATAAGAGCTCGAGACATTACCTCCCCAACCTCCCTCCCGCTCTGTAGCGGAGCGCCATTATCCTTTGTTTGCCTTAGGACAGGCCCTGTTTATTTTACTACCGATCTGAAAATCTATGATGTGGAATAGAAAACAGCACAAAAGATCTGGCATCAGAACGCACTAGGCAGTCACACTCCAGCAGTTTGTATTTATTTAACAAGCAAATTAGAGAGGAAGTGGAGTTTGTATGGTGCCTGTATGAGTGTAGAGGGAGAGGAAAATACAGATGACTACAGACTCATTATCTACAGTTAGTTACATGTTTACCGGTTATAATATCTAATTTAATTGGGAGATCAAAGGAGTGGTGACTACCTCTTGCATGGCTCAGAGGGCAGAGAAACTACACTATATATACAAAAGTATGTGGACACCCCTTCAAATTAGTGGATTCGGCTATTTCAGCCGGTGTATAAAATTGAGCACACAGCCATGCAATCCCCATTGACAAACATTGGCAGTAGAATGGCCTTACTGAAGAGCTCATTGACTTTCAACGTGGCACCGTTATAGGATGACACCTTTCCAACAAGTCAGTTCTTCACATTTCTGCCCTGCTAGAGCTGCCCCGGTCAACTGTAAGTGGTGTTATTGTGAAGTGGAAACGTCTACAACAACGGCTCAGCCGTGACGCGGTAGGCCGCACAAGCTCAAAGAACGGGACCGCCGAGAGCTGAAGCGAGTAAAAATCATCTGTCCTTGGTTG